GGTTCCCTTTTTCTGGAAAGGCAGTCAAGGATTAGCAGGCAAACAGTGCTCCCAAGGAGCCCAAAATGTGGCTGTTCAAATGTTAGCTGCGATCCTCAGCCAGCGTCCCTTTCAAAGACTGCAAAAGTTACAGGGACCAAGGTTTTGGGGTGGGGTTCAGAGCAGGGGAAACGTCTCTCGTGGTTTGCAGAACTGCTGGGGAGAACTGAGGACTCCCCCGAAGTCTGCGCCGGAGAGAATCTGCTGTGGAAGCCATGGAGAAGGACTCTTATTCTCTCGCCCTGTTAAGCAGTCCCAGTTCACGGGTGGAAAAACCTTGCAGGCACGCTTGGCTTAGCAGCAAAATGAAAACAGTGCCCTGTTTATTGGACTATAAATATAAAGATACGGCCACTTAATTAATCAATTCTAAACGTAGCCACTGGGAGTGACAGCTCCCAATATCCAATTGAAAATAACATGAATTTTTCACAGGCTTTGCTTTCCCCCAGGCTTCCTTTAGGTTTGCAGCCAGTTTTTTTTTTCCTCCCCCTTTTTCCTTTCTTTCCTTTCTTCCTTTTCAGCCTTGGGATGAATTCTTGGGGGGGGGGGGGGGGGACAGAGGGCAGGCTGTTCTAATTTCAACCTGAAAAAATTGCCCTGAACCTTGCGGAGGCTGTTTATATTGGCAGACACCCCGTCCCCAGAAATCATGGTAGGACTTGCCATCATCCAAAAACACTTTCCAGAATCTCCCCTTAGCAGCACAGGCCCTACCCAAGGCTCCTGGGGGGCTACAGATTCCTAATCCTGGGGGGGGGGGGTCTCTAATATACATTAGGTAGAAGCTACGGAAATGTGGCTGTTACAATTGCGGTTTAATGGTGCTTTAATTATACGCCCTCCTTTTTCTTAGCTCAGGGAACGGAAGGAACAACGTTTGGCCCAACAGAAAATCCAACCCACTGGCCCCAGAGGACAGCGCCCCTGAAATTTAGCAGCAAATCATGTTTTTCAGCAGAACAACTGTCTCTGGTTTTGTTTAAAATCAAAACATGGCTGAAAATAATGAGGTTCGGCCTCCTGTCAGCCTAGCCTCTGTTCTGAGTAAAAGCACCCATTCCAAAAAGGCTGAAAACATTGCTCTCTCACCCGGGATGGGCCAGCACATCATGACCAGACTCAGGACTCCCCCCACCCCATCTCTTTGCTTTTGCTAAACCCAGCATGGATAGGGGTGAGCGGTGAGTTTTTAATGCAAGATTTTCATCAGCTTTTGCAATCAGAACGATAGCCGGTTAGGAATATCTGCAAGGGGAGAGTCGAAAAAGTCAAGATGGCAGCCTGTAACCAGGCAACAGAAGTCCCACCCTTTTCTATGCGCTTTGCAGATGTGGCACGTGTAAAAAAAGGGTGGGGCTTCAATCTCAGGTACCATCCTGACTTTTTTGACATCGCCTGCAGATGCCTCTCTCACCAGTTCCAATTCAATGCTATTCAGTGTATTCAGCGAATGAAGGGTAGAATGTGCAGGGGGTAAAAAAGGAGTGGGAGCTTCAATGATGGGGCTGTGGCTACCGTCTTGAATTTTTGAAGCCCCTCCCTCGGGACACCCCTGGATAGATAAAGTATAGTCTGACCTGAGCAAGTGGGACAGGACAACGAATTGCAATGAATAGAAACTGGGAGGGAGGGAGAAAATGCTAATTGATTCCCCCAGTGCTAAACTTTGGTTCTCAGATAGTATCTGAGATTGAAGCCCCACCCTTTTTTTGCACATGCCACATCTGCAAAGCGCATAGAAAAGGGCGGGACTTCTGTTGCCTGGTTACAGGCTGCCATCTTGACTTTTTCGACCCTCCCCTTGGACCAACCAGTTTACAGGATTCGCTGCCTTCCCCCAAATCTCTGCCTTCAGGTCTCGATTTCTCTGGGGCCAGCACAATCTGGCAGATGCAAGGATCAGTGGGAAAGATCCCGTAACACACTCCTGTTGGCATTCCCCAAAAGAGCCTTTGGCAGCGTCCGAGCACCAAGTCTATACACATTCACACGGGACCCTATGCTGAAGCAGGCTGACTCCCCTCCCAAAGGTTCAGATGCATTTGGCTTGAAGGCCAACATCTCTCTTGATGGCTTTCCCCTGTCTGTGGACTGGGCATCGCAAAGAACCATCGCTGGAGTTCTGGGTTGCATCTGGATTTAGAAAGTGGCATTTGATCTCCTCTCCAGAGAGGCAGGCCACACACTTGTTTTTCTTGCTCGTCTGTTTCCGGCCTCATTTGCCCACTTTTAACCCCATGAGAACCAGCCTTACTATAATGGAAAGCAGATGGGGGTTTTCTGCATTAGTGTTTCCCACACATGGTTCCTCCCTCCGGCTACTGGTCAAGCCTAAATCTCTTCTCGCTCCTAAGCCATGGGCACCATTGGCCTTGAAAGATTCACCTAGCTTGGAGTCCCTTCCAGGGTCTTCAGGTCAACCCTTCCCTTCATCACCACCTCCAGACTCACGTAACCCAGTAGATTGCTGGACTTAGTTCTATCATTTGTCCTTATGCGTTCCTTCAATTACAATTTCATTTTTAAAATGAAAATTGTGTCCTCCTCCCTTGCCCCCAAAGGGTCATTGGAGTCATTCTGGCCTGCCAAGTCCTCAGCTTCAGCTTTATTGCCCTCTGGGTGGGTAGCAGCTCTTGCAACCAGGAGATACTTGGGCAGGGTTCCTCAACCTCAGCAACTTTAAGATGGGTGGACTTCAACTTTCAGAATTCCCCAGCCAGCCATGCTGGCTGGGGAATTCTGGGAGCTGAAGTCCACCCATCTTAAAGTTGCTGAGGTTGAGGAACCCTGTTCTTGGGGACGGAATTCACTTCCTGGCTTCTGAGGTGTCTCTTGGGGTCCATTCCAGCTCCATAATTTGGTGACTCTATGATCTGCACACTAGCCCTCTGTTTGGGGAGGACACTACAATTTCTCCATGCAAAAATGCGAAGCAGGTACAGTTTTCCTCCAAGGACCTGTCTTAGGAAAGCGAGCGATCCCAGTCCATTGAGACCATTGGCATTTAAGACTTCCCCCCTTTCATCTCCAGTTTAACTCAACTCATTGCCAAGAGGATGGCCCCAATTTTCACTGCAAATTCCTGACCTCTGGCACAAAACTCTCTTAAGGTTTTCAGTCCTGAAGTATAATGGAAATGATTGTGAAAGTGAGAGAGAAAGAGAAACACACACACACACACACAGAGCTTAATGACAAGAACAGCTATCTAAATAGCTTAGTGGTTCTGGAAAGATTCCACACAATTAACAGGGCAATTGGGGCCCACATTCCATTGCTGTGACAACTGCAATCTGGAGATGGTTATGCTGAATGCACACATGGGCATGTGACAAAGGGCACATGAGATCAAAGGGCATATTAGATTACAATTGATCACCGGTGATGTTCACCACCCCCAAGCAATTCAGACCAAAATGGTCCCAGACAATCTCTTCTGCCTTGTTCAGAACCTTGATTGATTGATTGATTGATTGATTGATTGATTGATGGCCCAACTCCTAAACAACTCCGGATGGCCTACAACTAACAAACCAACATATTAAAAGAAATGCAGCTGACCAGAAAAGCGGAATACAAAAGAAAAAAATCAAAACCAAACAAAAACTAGAAGCGGGGCTCCACAATCACCTTGTCCCCAAGGCCTGGGAGAACAACTAAGTCTTCAGTTAGTTCCTGAACGACAGAAGGATGGGAGCCACACGAATTTCTGGGGGGATGTCATTCCAGAGGGCAGGAATTGCAACAGAGTAGGCGCCCTTCCGGGGTCCTCCAAGACAACATTCTTTAAATGATGGGACCGGACTGAATCCGCTCTGCTGTATTGAATTCGATGGGCAGAGACAACTGGAGACAAAGGGTCCCTTACTTCTTTTTCAGTCATTCTTCAAGGAGTCTCAAACTGCAACCCTAATGTGCCCAAGGGCTGACCTGAGGGGTATTAGGGTGGCAGCCACTGCCAAAGAAAGGAGGCGTGAATGCACTGGCAAAAGGGGTTCAGAAGTTCTGATTCTCACTACTCAGTGCAAACGGGAAATAAAATAAATTGTTTGTATCACTCCCCTCCATTCATGACCTTACTTTATGTCAGAGTTTCTCAACCTCAGCAAATTTAAGATATGTGGACTTCAACTCCCAGTCAGAATTCTGGGAGTTGAAGTCCACTCATCTTAAAAGTCACCGAGGCTGACAAACACCGCTTCATGTTAGGTGCATTTGTCTGGTTATAAGAAAGCAACATCTGGAAAAAACCAAAACAAAATTGGAAAAGTTCCGATGTGGGGAAAGCTGACCCACCAAGCCCCCATTCCACTTGAAAGAACTAAAGGCTGAGAGCTGGTCTCTTATGCACTCAAGTGAAGCCACTGTATCAAGAGGGGTCCACCCCATGTAGTGGCAGGAGAGGAAGAGAGCGGAAGGCAGGATGAGGAGATAAGGAGGGAAGCAGAACAACTGAACCAGGAGAGTCTTTTCTTAGACAAGGTCTTTTCTCGCTCAGAGGCACCTTGCACTCAATTCTAAAGCTAAGCCACACACCATGGTGTTGCCTTTGCGTTATGTGTGAAGCTGGCAGCTGGGGTGCATTAAAATAAACCATGGTTTAATGCAATGCATCGGCGGGAGCTGGGAACCAAAAGCCAGCAGAGCCGGGCGCCGCTGGATCGGGCAGCGGTTCTACGTGGAAGCAAGACAGGGCAAGAGCAAAGCTTCATTTGCTGCTACTGAGCATGCTCCAAGTAAGATGGCTTTGAGCGTCAGCTGCTGCTATTGCGCATGTCCGGGACTGCCTGCCGTCGGGACAATACCGTAGTGAGCAGGGTTGCAATGAAACGGAGGCCAGTAGGGACTCTCGGGAGGCTTCAATTAGTCCTACTACGCATGCTCCTAAGGGAAGGGGGTGGGCATGTGGCTTCAGCGGTTGCTAGTGCGCATGGCTGAGGTTTACTGCGCATGCTCAGTAGGGACCTGGATGATCGGGGCAGAACTCTGCCACTTCCAACTTGGAGCAAGTTGCTGTCCCCCGGGCAGGGGCCGGGGTACGCCAGAGTGGGGGTGGGTGGGAGGAGACGAGACCCCGGGGGTACGGGGAGCCAAGCAGGCAGCCTGTGAGCTCAGCCACCGACAGGCAGAGGTTCGGCAGGGGAAGACGTGTCCGTAGAGACTTGATCGGTTGGATTTCTTCCTGTAACGTGGTTATCGAGGGTGTAGGTCTTGCAGAGCTGTGGGGTGGGAGAGGGGAGCCTTCTGATACTGATAGCCCCACCCACTAATGGATGGGAATGAGATGCAGCGGGGAGGGTGGGCGCAACCTTACCTGTTGAACGTCTACTGGCCAGTGGCTTGTTTTAGACAGAGAAGAGCCTCTGCCAGGCTGTGCTAATGGGGTGATAGAAACTTTCCGTGACAGAGGTGGGATGACCAGGAGGGGCTTTTCGTGGGTCCTGCAACTGTTTGAAAAGGGCAGGGATGCCCCCCCCCGAGGGCTGTGGGGGGCTACCGAATGCAGCCTGCCTTTGTGTTGACCCCCTTCTCCTCCCCCTCCTTAGCAAGGCCTCCTGGGGATGCCAGCGCCGAGCGCCAGCGATGCCACCCCCACCGGAGAGGGGGTGCGGGAGACCATCCGGAGGGACCTCTTGGCCGCCGACCTGAAATGCAGCTTTTTTGCTTCCGCCCTGCAGAGCTACAAGCGCGACTCTGTCCTCCGGCCCTTCCCAGGACGCTACACCTCCGAGGAGAGCAAGGATTTTGAGGCTCTGGTGAGTGGCCCCCGGCCAGAGGCACTGGCGGGCATTGGGGGGGGCTCCTGGCGAGTAGGAAGCTGCAGATCAGGCCTCACGGTCTCCTGAGCAAGGTGGCTGCAGCTTGTGGTCCCCACAGTCCAGCCTGGGCTGGCAGGGAGCAGATGCTGGGATAACAAGGTCAGGCTCTCCCAAGGAGGGCCATTCAAGCCCTGAACCTCCGAAATGCTGGTCAGGGTTAATCGTACAGGGTTTTTGCCTCTTGGTTCCCTGTCGTGGTGGAAGGCAGAGGCTTGCATTTGTCACCGTGTTTATAAGGAACCTCAACCACAGATCGTTGTTTTGAAATTCTCCACCAGATTTGCAAGCAGAGAAATTGGGTAGACACCCTTTCTGGATTTCTCAAGAAACAGGAGATATTCCCCCACCATTTTTCAAAGGGGTTCTCATCTTTAGCGGCCACAGCCACTGAAAAAGCCCCTGGGAAAGGCCCTCCTTTTTTTAATGTTTTCTTTTTTTCACCTGAGCCAAACAAAACTTAAGCAGCCAAGGAGGCTGCAGACGGCTGGCAAGAGGGAGCTGTGATGAAAAGTAAGGCAATTACTAAAACAAATCTTGGCCATCCAATCACTAAGTTCATAGCGTATGGTAATTAAAATTCTTAATAAAAATTATATTTAAAAAACTAAGTAAGTTCACCGCATTCCATCCATGAGAATGTTCCTGAAAGTCTTGGAAAGAATAACTAAAGCAAACTTGCTTTCGTTGGATAAAAGGAAAAAAAGTCAAGAGTGTTTCTCTGTCGGACTCTGTAAATCAGGGTTTCTCAACCTTGGCAACTTTAAGATGTGTGGACTTCAATTCCCAGAATTCCCCAGCCCGCCTGTGCTTGGTGGGGGATTCTTTATATTGAGGTTTTGTTGTTTTAAAAATATCCGGGTTTAGA